CAGCTTGGTGAAATCTATGAAATTCATAATTTTGTTGATTTCATTTGTTCATCAGTGCAATTTTCTGGCTTGGAGATTTGAACTACCGAATTAGTGAGCTATCGGCAGATGAGGTTAAAGGTTTCATACGAAAGGACATGCTGAGAGATGTATATGAATATGATCAGGTAACAGACACAGATAACATTTGCCCATTCCGAATATCTGAAAATTAAATTCTTGATTACAGTGATATTTCCGTGGATGCCGGCAGTTGAGATTAGTCAGCTGTGGGGATTAGTTAGCTATGCAGATTAGTTGACTGTGTGGATTAGTCTGCTTTTGCGGCTTGTCTACAGCAATCCAGCTGACACATATTATGATACGCATGTTGGTACGTAGTAATATTGAATCCCTGTATGACCTTTCAGGCTTAACCTTTTCACCACCAGACTTTCTCGCCCAAATTTGTCAGCCCTTTTTTCCCCTATATTATTCAATATTTCTAAAAAAAACGAACCTTAAATTTGGAGCTAATAGACAAAATTTGCGTAAATTTTCAGTTTTTACTCCAAATATTTAAACTATAAACGGGACTCTTTTGTGAATTTATAATGAAAAGATGGAAATAGTGGTGAAGAGGTAAATTTACACTCATCTATATGATAATAAGGTGCTGCAAAATTACCATGGTTACCATGGTTTCTTTAACGATGTCCTGATTGGTGATATGGTGATACCTGGTACTTAAATTAAATACTGTTGGCTTTCCAATATTTCAGACTACCGGTACTGTAAAATACTTTATTTTCGCTAAAGGAATGATTCAGTGAAAATAAAATCCAGCGAATATACCTTTTTTCCTATATTTTACATTCGACAAGTCAAAAAATCAGTGAAAATTTATTCCATACAAGACACCCAAAAAGTCTTTTCTGCAAAAAATAATTCCAGCTAAAATAAAGTATTTTACAGTAAATGATTGTTTTGCCTACTTATATTTATTTATCTATGTATTAATATACAGAATAATGATTAAAATATAGGTGATATGCCAGGTCACTTTCTGCAATACCGTCTGCTTTTCAGTAGCATGTGCTTAATAATTAAATGACAGTGGTGTGTCTATGATAAACACATTGAAGGTGATAGAATCCTGTGCGAATAGCCAATATAAATAGGAAAAATGGAGCTGGTGATACGTTAAAATAAACAATATTATAATGGTCTAGTATACAGGGATTTCATTTGACAAAACACACACTCCTGTCATTTCTTAAGCATGTGTTACTACAGCTCTTTCAACATCAGCATCTGAAATTGCAGTCCTGACTGAGATAAAGTCTGATAAGAGTTGCTAGTAGAATACACAAAACCAGTAAACACCAACGTGTACTCAAGTGACTTGTGTGTTTTAATCATAGATGCGTTTACATAAGTTCAGTTATCTCAGACAAAACAAACCTCACTTGGTGCCACAGTGGTAACACCTCCCTTGTTGTAGATGTAATCTACATAATTAGATACATAGTGTCAACATCAAAGTGTGAACTGTCTTGGCTGCAATATGGATCCTGTTGCTGAAAGAGCTGTAATATGGTAGTTTGTTAACAGACTCTTAATTCTCTCACTCATTCATATACAGCTAAACAGACAAATGAGAATACAGAAAGCATTTATTGGATTCACCGAAGGAGAAATTAATTTTTTACCGACATATAAATATGATAGCGGCACAGATTCATGGGATTCAAGGTATGATATGATCTGTTTACCACACAAATAGAACCATATGACCTATTTACCACACAAATATCACCATATGACCTGTTTACCACACAAATAGAACCATATGACCTATTTACCACACAAATAGAACCATATGACCTGTTAACCACACAAATAGAACCATATGACCTGTTTGCCACACAAATAAAACCATATGACCTGTTTATCACTCAGATATCACCATATGACCTGTTTACCACTCAGATATCACCATATGACCTGTTTACCACACAAATAGAACCATATGACCTGTTTACCACACAAATAGAACAATATGACCTGTTAACCACACAAATAGAACCATATGACCTGTTTACCACACATATATCATCATATGACCTGTTAACCACACAAATATCACCATATGACCTGTTAACCACACAAATAAAACCATATGACCTGTTAACCACACAAATAAAACCGTATGACCTGTTTACCACACAAATATCACCATATGACCTGTTTACCACACATATATCACCATATGACCTGTTAACCACACAAATAAAACCATATGACCTGTTTACCACACAAATATCACCATATGACCTGTTTACCACACAAATAGAACCATATGACCTGTTTACCACACAAATAGAACAATATGACCTGTTAACTACACAAATAGAACCATATGACCTGTTTACCACACAAATATCACCATATGATCTGTTAACCACACAAATAAAACCATATGACCTGTTAACCACACAA